AGTTTGGGATTCGTCATTCTACTATTCTCTATATCATATTAAAAAGGCTCATCTCAAATGTATATTTATTTTTTTCAATTTGAAGATATTAAATTATAAGTTATAATATTTTGAAATTGTAAAATGGTTTACTCTGTTGTGTTACGTGATTTCTTCAGCTCTATATAAATGTTAAATATCTGTATTTTGTATATAAGGTGGTAAAATCAGTGTAGCGATGGAAATCGTGATAGTAGATTATTTTTTTTTGCGTGAAAGTATATTAAATTATTGAAATTACAGATAATTTTAAGCCTGATTTATTATATATTCCACTTCCTTTCCACTATATCGTTTTTGGGACCGACGGATAAAACCGCTGGCGGAAAGCTAGTATAATAACAATATAACTTATTATCTTCATAACATACCTATTTTACTTTTTCCCCAACCTAATATAAAATACCTATTTTATATTAGGTTCGGGCAAAAGTCTTCGCATATAGTATGTAGTATTAAAATCTTTCTGGTTATACTATTTGTATCTGGCTGGTTTCGGTATCTTTAAAAAAGTTTAATATTAAAAGAAGAAAACTCCGAATTCTAAGTAGGAAGATGTGTGATTTTCATTTTTTTTTGTCCGTCAGGTAGATTGTTGTAAAATATTAAACACTTTTTTTTTCGTAATTATTAAATAAAGGCTATACATTGAGTTTGAGTAGATTGAGTAGATGGCGTGCAATTGAGTAGATGGCGTGCAATTGGGGAGGCCTATGTCCAGCAGTGGACGAATATGGGCTGATGATGATGATACATTGAGTTAAAATGTCACATGACGTCACGCCTTTGTACATTTTCTACAAAACTGTGACGTAGCGAGCCCCACTCCTTAACTTTAACGCCTGTTATCTAAGCTAATTCTTGTTAAATTGAAATAGTACGAGTACGTATCAAATATTTTTCTATTATCTGAGTGACGGACTAAATACCAACATTTTTTACCCAGTCGTCATCCCTATTAATCAAATAGAAGGGGTGTGGTTTTTCTATCATAATAACGCTGGATCTCACACATTTTCCCACTCAGCAAAAATTTAGAGAGTTTGTTAGGGAGGTGTAAATGTATCCGCCGTATACTCCTGACCTTGCACCTTCAGATTTCCACCTGTTTTGGTCTCTTCAGAATTCTTTATGCAGTGTCAGGTTAACATCACGCGAGGACTTCCAATACCACTTGGTGCGGTTTTTTGATCAGAAGCCCCAAAATTTTTATAGCAATGGTATCATATAGGGATATCTTGTATCTTGTAAGTACTTACAAAATGACAAAAAGTTATCGAACAAAATGGTACCTTGCCTTACCTTTAGTAAATGTAATAAACTTTATTAAAAATGTTTTGAATATTCATATAAAATGCAAAGAAACTTTTCCCCCAACCTATTATGTTTTGGCGTAATAGAACTTAATTATATGTATGAAATTTATTAAAATTGTATACAAAGAATACTCATGTAGAATTGGAAAATAATATATGCCAAGTCTGGTGGCGGTTTCAATTACAAAGTCACTACAGCACTGGTATTTTCTACAAATTCTCTTAATATTTATTATTTTATATAATTTTCTTTATAATAGACGTTTAAAGGTTGGATTTCCTCACAAAAAACAATGTATATATCATTTTGCTAGTAACCCTCTATGTCTTGCAGTATACATAAGGTCAATGCGACCGGCCAGTTGTTTATGGTGGCTGTAAAAACTTACAGCTTCAGATTAACTCGGTCCATTGGCCGTTCACGCGGGCCTCACGCTCCGTCGCGCCGCGTCTCCGCTCCGCCATGCCACAGCGCGGAAATAGACCAACGCAACGGGTAAAACGAAATAAAAAAAACCGGTTGGAAGCGAGTCAGATTTGCGCGCTATGAGTTCCGCATAGGTTATATTAAAAACATTAAATAATAAAAAATAGGCTTATAATAGGTTTTCTATAATAGGCGACGAACATTTCTCTGGATTACCTTAATTAAAAAAGCTGTTGTTACGTAAAGTTCCTAATTTCTATAATATGAACTAAAGTACATATATTTGGGTTTCTAGAATATCAAGTGGCTGGTTTTAAAAACAACATTTTCTTGATAGTGATTTTTTAATTTAGGCACGTTACAGTTGTGGAGTTGATTATGTAGAGAGAGAGAGATAGAGATACTATTCGTATTCGTAATTATATAATATTCGTATTTCTTCCATTTTCACAACAGTTTGAAATGGGATTTTCATAAAATTAAATATAAATCACATAATGTGGACCATTTCATTTTAACGCTGAGCAGCTTTAAATATCTGCAAGGTTGTTATAGTTTTGAATAATCAATCCAAGGTATTATGGCATTTAGCAGTACACAGAATCGTAATTTGCTGACTCTGGTAGCACTATGCCGACCTGTTGAGCACCACCCAGGTCCAAGAACTAGCTTCGCACGACCTCGGCCATTGGTTAACATCAACCTGATTGGTTTCAGGCTACAAATCTCAAACAGAGTTGTCATTAGCCCCCAAACTGTCTAAAATCGGCTGCATGATAGTGATCTATGTGAAGTTGTGTGACTTCCAATCAGATACTATCTGTACATCATGGGAATCATGCTTATCACAACGAATAATATAGAGAACTCATAAAGTGGACACAGATATGACTGCGATGGGTCGTTTCTGCGATGTTGAACGATTGACCAGTACGTTCGGGAACTCTTACAGCGTCTCTACATTAATGGTTTGGGCGGGTATCATGAAGAATAGTAGAAACGTGCTCTCTTTTATAGATGGCAACATGAACTTTAAAAGTTATGTTGAAGACTTTCCGAGATCTTTTGTACATTTATTTGCATGAGTATGGACTTTCATTTTACTTTGATAGCACACAACTTGGAGGACCAACATACAACTGTTGGAAGTGGATAATATTCGAGTATTGCCCTACTGTATTCATAGTCCATTTTTTGTATTCGTAAGATTAGTAAAAATATTGTTCTTTTAATTAGAAATTAGTATCATTGGTATTTAAAAACTAATTAAATGATTCTAATGACTACATAATATTAATGAACTACCAAATTATTTTTTACTCTTCTATTCTTTCTTTTTGAGACACAGAACCCTTCAAACATGTAGATACCACCACTACCCCTAAGCGTTACTAGATTAATCAAGCGCTTAAGTGTTAAAATTTTGTGCTAAACGTGTTGTGATATTTTACAGAGCCGGAAAAACTGGCTTAGTAGTAGCTTTGTATTTTAACCGAAGCTTCATATCTGATGTAGGTTTTATGCCATGCTTAGATGGTTCCATTGTATTGATATTATTTTTTTTTTTATTGCCAATCGTCAAATGTTGCAGCAGCGTAAAATTGGAAAGCCGCTTGGCCAATACGGTTAATTTTTTTTCATATGTTGGCTAGAGAGAGAGAGAGAGAGAAATATTAAAAACTTTCTTTGAAATAAATTAAAAATATATAGACCAATAACTTTTGTCAAAACAAAGTTTGTCGAAGCAGAATATTTTTTGCACTAAATAAGTGACGCCCCAATAAAATATATATAACAGTTTTTTTGTAGCTCCGCACAGGTAAATTAAAGCTCGTGTCAACCCTGTATAATGTAGCTACCCTAGATCTGTGTAGGTGAAATAATTTATAAAATCGGTCATGTAGTTTCGGGACTATGCAAACAAACATACAAATAAACAATCTAATCTTCTCTTTATAATATCAGGATAGATGAATATTGTAATTGTTCGGCTCGTTTTAACTTTGCTTTAATCGAAGAAAAAATCTTGGCGAATTTCAATTATAATAATGCTAACAAAGAACATATGATAGTTGTTTTTTTTTTTAAATTTATTGATGTTTAATTATGATAAATTTGCTATCTTGAATACGTTTTAAGATAGTTTGCCAGATAAAATGAATTTAAATTATTAATATTATCAAAGTTTTTGAGTGATAACTACAATTACATTATGCAACTGTTTTTATATATTTAGAGGTCTCACCGGAAACCAAAAGTCTATCAAATACTCTTGAACAACTAATATCAATTAATGGCGGGTACAAATCGGCTGTTCAAGTTCGGTCCAGTATAGCTAAGGCTACATAGGTGTGGGTCCCTCCTCCCATCAATCTTTTCGCCACATCATTTGCTCCCCGCGCTTCTCGCCGCGATTGAATTTCATTAACGAAACGCTTAGTGCAGATTGAATCCATTTAAGTAACAGCGATCGGGCGAATCTTATGCAGTAACCTTTGCTACATCTAAAGGTGGAATTTTCAATTTTATTCCACTCAATTGCGGTTGCCCTCGTGTTGATTAAAGCAATGTATTGTTTCAAATGCTTACCTTTACCGATTTTGATTGAAAATTTGACACTACGTATGATAGTAAGGCCATTGCCTTTTTGAGGAATTATTTTCATGCTCTTTGAAATTGTTCAACGTTAAAATTTATACAAAAAAACCTCTTTAATATATATATTCTTAAATATATATCCATGTAAATTATTTTATTTTAAAGAAAACTTACAGCTGTGTTTGAGGATATATCAATACAATAAATGCTGAAGGCCATCCAAAAGTTTTCACATATGATTAAAAAAAAAAAACAGTGCGATAAGAAAAAACAATAAAGAGGTAATATACTAGGCAATATTTAAGAAATAATAGTTTGTCAGCATACGTTTTAACTGAATGGCTGATGTATTGAACAAGTCGATGTCTAGTTTCTTCACTAAGTCATTAAAGCGCCTGCTCGCCCTCATCGTATAAGCATTTAATCTATAATTGGTTTTACATAATGGTATATGTAAGTTGTAATGTCTTCTTCCTCTGCCACCACCATACGGAACATGTAAACCAATGCGCTCCAATAGTTCGGGACAATCAATTGATGACTTGACTTTATAAGAAATATTGGTGCCCTTGTACCCATGTTTCTGTTATTATTTCACATGTATTTTTTTTTTGTTACAGACGGTCTCCATATCGATGCTGCTGCGTTACGCCCATCACCAAATCTTCGTTTTTATAGGTAAGTCAAGTATTATAACTAAAACAATGTTGTCCACCGTCTTTGAATTTATTATTGATTGTGTCTGTACACCAGTAATCTTACTATAGCTACGATTATTCTCTGATGTTTCTCGAGCATCTAAAGACCGTAAATACGTACGGTGCAATTACCTGCTGTCCAAACGAATTCTGTGAAAAATTCTCGAGTCGTGAGCCGGCTGAGCGGCAATCTCTTTGTAATAACAATAATTGCGAATAGCGCCCGCAGCCGCCGCGCCCCGCCCCGCCCAGGTCCGACCCGCCCGCGAAACAAATAAAATAATATAAAAAAAAAACATAACGGGCGGGATTTGCCCATCTCTCCCGCCACTTTGATCCGTCGACAATTAGTCTGATACAGATAATTTGTTTCGTTCCCTATTTTTTTTTTCTGCGCAAGCACTTGGCTTAGTTGCTTCAATTAGATGATTGTTTTTGCATTTTTTTTTTCTATTTTCCACCTCAATTCGTCGAAATGAAATCTTGAATTATTTCTTTGATGTTATTACTCCTTTTGGCGGGAATTATGTGTATATTGCTGGGTACAACAATTTTTTCCTTTAAAAATTATTGAACAAAAAATAGTTTTGAAAGTTATAAGATGTGTGTGGGCGTTTACTTTGTTCTTTGCATTGTTTCGTTGTCCAGAGTTCTCGATATTATTAACGTTAATTGGTGTAATTCGATACAAATCACTGCACTAATGATGTACGTTAAGCTCATTAAGATATCCGGGAATCATGTGACAATGGATAGACCGACAACATTGTATCATATAAACCGTTCGTCACATTTCTGCTAATTACCGGAGAAATACGATTTCCTTTTGTGCGTTGATCTGAAACATTGTTTATTGGATATTATTTCCGTTGCTAAGGTGTTGATTAAAGTAGTAGTATTTATTTTCTACGTATATATTTTTCAGTTATAAAGATCACAGAAATCCTAACATATTCAGTAGTCAGGTATTTAATTTTAAGCAGGTACTTTGTTATTAAACAGTATGTAGAATTAAAATGATAGATAATTTTAAAATTTCTAGCTACGGGAAACTACAGCATACGCGGGTGACATAATAATAGGTTAATTAACATATTTTTTTTGTTTTATAAATAAATAGTAACATCTGAGAAATAATGTAGAAGTAACATCATGTCTGCGAGTAATAGTTTTGGTGATATGGTGCTATGTTTGTGGAACTGCTACTAGGTGGCCGAAAACACTCCATACAAATTCAAGGCACTAAGTGATGAGTGATGACATACGGTGCTACGGTAACGAAAAACGTATGGTCGTCTGGGCAATTATTCTAACTAGCAACGTAACATATTCTAGTCATATTTTTAGTGTATTTTTTAGTGTATGCGCAACGTATTCTAGTAATTTTTTTAGTGTATTTTCCTACTTTTTTAAAGTTTTCGAAGCATAATATTTTGGAAATTAAGTGACATAAAATTATTTTGTTGAAAATGTATAACTTAAAATGGTTCATATATTCTGAAATATAATAGAAATCTCCATTTTCACTTGTGGGGCACAAGCCTCGTGGGCAAAGTCGCGGGAAAACAGTTATTAATATATAAGAAAGTATTAACAGCATGTTGATATAAATGTGATATTTAAGAAATATAATATATAGATACATTTTTTCTCGCTAATATTCTCACGAATAGTCTCCAGTATTACATGCGGCGTCAACTGTAAATATAAAATAAGATTTATACCTAAAAGCATCCCGTTACGAGTTTGCAGAATAAACTATTTAACTGACAATATCCGATAAAAGCAAATCTCTTCAATAGGATCTAGTTGGTATCTATGACAACTCATCCCTACCTACCTGTATCTTAACAGGTAAAGGATCGGAAAATTCAACGCTTATAATCTCTTTGTGATTTTTGCTTTGGGTTTTCTAATCCCTGCTGTTGCGGATGGTGGGAAAGGAGCTATTTTTTCCATAGAGAAATACGAGCCCCTGTGTAGCCTCTGACGAGAATAGTAACTGCGTTAAATGTTTCGTTTGAACTATTACCAGATGAGGACTTCCTTTAAGAAGGTTTTACTTAAAGTAATAGCTAAAAGAACGTAAATTTATGTGTTCGAGAAATTACTGTTGTTAAAGATCTTGTACTATAGTTTATTCAAGTTTCATGAATGATAGCAATTTTAATAAAGACAAAATTTCTTAATCAGCTTTATTTATAGATTCGTCCAAGCGGCCTAATATGTAATAGTTTGTATACAAACTTCAAATTTAAAACATACTTTAAATAATTATTAAGTAATAAAATATAACAAAAAAAGGTTTTAATAAACAAGCTTTTATTTGTGCGTACTAAAAAGTAAATTCTAAACATTTAAGTACTTATAATAAAAATTTTCTCTAACAGTAATTGACTTTAATAGGTTGTAGCGCTAATGAAATCAGAGACGAGGAAATAATACATATATTTTTTTTACGCGCTACAAGCCTTGCAGGTCAATTGCTGTTATAGAAAATAATTGATTATAAGTACTTTAAATGTTCAGAATTTATTTATTTACATTTCAGTGTGCACGAATAAAAGCTTGTTTAAAAAAAATTCTTTATTATATTTTGTTTTTTACTTTTTTCACAATATGTCGTTGTTCTCATAAAGACGTATCTAGAGAGCTCAAACACTATGCAGTTGCGTTATTTCACCGCTAAGTACCTATATCCACCTTCCAGCTCAATTGTTCTCACCACCAGACCTTGGTCAAAAAATCATCCAGTACCAAAGTCCTCATTAAGACGGATTGAATGAGCCCAAACTCGATGCAGTTGCATAGTTTCATAGTTTCATTATTAAGTTCCTATGACCACCTTCCAGTCGGAAGGTCCATCATCATATCAGCTTACTGACATCATAATATTGCATTGATGTCTTACTTACATGTCTCGCAAAATTTCATATATATCGGACTTTGGGAAGTGGGTCAAATTTGGGTTCCAAGATTTGCACACTAAGTAACATACTAACTAGGCAAGTTAAATAAAAGCTTGTAATAATAAAATTCGACCTTGCTTTATGTTACGTGCGTATGATAGAGCTAAGAATTTTTAAAATTGGTGTAATAATTTCGGAGCTTAATTACTGTAAACAAATGATCAAATCTTTCTTCTTCATAATGTTAGTATAGACTCAAGAAAAATACGATAGAATATAGTTACATTTGAACGGTACAACACAAACTTGTATGAGCTTTTTCATTGATTAACCAAACTCTCTGAATTCTTTAATGTAAAATTTTCGTTCTCTGAAGTACGCTGTCTAGCTTTGAGCTTTAAGATTCTGCTGAAAGAAACATCATCAACTCCAAGCATCATGGTTCTTTTAAGTAACGCCTTTTTTAAAAGATAAATAAAAAGTTTTATTTGGTTCAAGCTCTATGATCGACCGTAATTATTTACAAAATAGCCCATTCAGTATTCTAATGAATGGCCATTCTGAAAATAATTACCACTAATTCTATGTGGTTGTGTATTCAAATTAATAGCGTTATGAAATGTTTTATTATATTTAATAATAATAATAATAGCTCAGTGGCATATGTTTTTATTGTAAGCATTTACTGCATTATAATTAGTTAAATGTGTAAAAGAGCAAATATTAATATAAAAAAGTATATAATACAGTAATAGCATAGGGATAAAAAATTGATATGATGTAGAAAAACGCTAAATACCAAAGACACGGAAGAGAAAATTTTTGAAAAGTTGTGCTACATTTATTTTTCATATATTAATTACGACCGGGCTACGGACTACGAGTAATATCCATTTTCGTAGCATGAAATCGTAGTAGTTAGAAATGACGATAAGGATTTTTATCGAGTAATAAATAATCTATGCATATTTTTATCAAATCAAACCAAAATTCATTAAAATAAACTTATCGAAATCATGATTTAAAAACTGTCTAAACTTCTTATCTACTATTTAATCTCATTATGTGTATAACTATTACGATATCTTTTGTTTCGTTTGGGTCCAGAAACTTATCAGCTTTATTTGTCGTTAAAACATTTATGTAGGTATGTAAACAATATTATTATCAAATTTTTATTATTTCATTAAATGTCTTAATCTTTTTTATTATTATTGGAAATGTTATATATATATATATATATATATATATATATATATATATATATATATATATATATATATATATATATATATATATATATATATATATATATATATATATATATATATATATATATATTCATCTGTTCACTAAAACTGGGAAAATTCCAGTTTTAATGTTAACCTGTATTGTAAGTGACGGGACGGCAACTTGTCAGTTGAAACACAACTTGATACAAAATGGGTGAACCATTTCTTTATTGATAAAGTACCAAATACATACCGACCGACACAAAGCCGTGTTTTTCGTGTATTCACTTAAAGTTATGCACACAGCTAGCGTTTTTTAGTTTAAAGTATTTCTTTTCTATTTCTATTTATAAAATATATATTTAATGATTGTAAAGTGCTTTTAATTATCTTGAATTTAGAATATTTGTGTAGTCTATACTGATATTATAATAGAAAAGATTTTAATGTTTATTTATTTGATGTATTGATATTATATAAAAATTGTTTCATGTATGGCAGGGGTTCCCAAACTTATTTATTCTACTACCCACTTTGAGAATAAATTATTCTTTAGCGCCCCGATTTTTCATCTATTTAAAAACCACTATAACTTCAAATTAAATTAATTCATTATTGTAAGCTATATTAGCGGAGATTAAATATTAATTTTGAACGAGACTTTAACTATAACTCGCAAGAGTTAACTTGAAACCTGGGCGAAAACAACGGCGTTGAGGTCTTAAATTAACATTTACGGGCTACACCTGCCAATGAAAATGATTATTGAAACGCAACTTCATAATATTCAAACACTATCTTTTAATCAAAATAAAATAATAATAATAATAATAATAATA